TGCAGCTAAAAGCACAGCTTGGGTACAGTGTGGCAGGAGCTGCAGATTGCCATTAGCAGCCTTGTGCAATTTTTCATTTAATTTTTTTCAGGTAAGGTACCACAGATCAGTAAGTAACAGCATACCTCAGAATGACTTTGAATACACCATAAAGTATTTTATTTTCCAATAGCAAAATACTCCACCCATCTTTAAAATAATTTATTTTAGGGCTTTAGAAGCTGTAGTAAGTTTGGGATTTTTTTTTAACAGTGGTCCATCCACATGTAATGTTTTGCTTTAAAAACTCAAAAAGGCTGATAATTACATTAATCCTTATAATGTTATCTCCTTACCACGTCCATGTAACTCTTACCATCTTCCAAGTTCTGTAACTATGACAGTCACTGAAGATGATACACCCCGTACACAGAGTCCTCTGTTACAGATAGAGTTTAATAAGTTCATCACTGACGGCTGATGGAGTTAACACACCCAGGTCTGTAAACAGTAACGTAATTAGCGATGGTGATGTGTAGTCAATCCATGGATGCTCGTCCTTTAGATTCGGACTTGTTTTCAGAGTGTCTGCTTTGTACTAGAAGGAAACAGAGACCATTAGTTATTGCACAACTGCAAGTTAAAACCGCTTATGGGGCTCGAGCAGATGTTTGTGGTAAAACCGAAGGAAGTTGGTTGCTTTAAAATGATGCATAAGCTGGTGCCACCTTGGTCTCAGCTGGCTTATCTTCTTTATAAAGTACAGTCGGTGGTTCTGAAGTGTATTGATTTAACTGTTTCTTGCCCTCAGCTGCTCCTGTGCCCCAAAGGAACTGCTTTAGGAATTAAATGTTAGTATTATGACAAATTACGGCTGGCTGACATGTGACTGTTACATGGCGTAGCTCCATATCATGCAAAGTAAGCTACAGCAGAGAGATCCAGGTAAATGAAGACATGCTTAGATGAAAATTTTACATGGACACGTAAGTGTGCATCTTAGCTGGCTAAGAAGTAATTTGAATTTCTCTTACCTTAAACTTATCTGGGACATCCTGCTGATTCAGAGGGAAAAGTCTTACAAACTTGAAACTTTCTGCTACCACATAAAATGGCTTATTCTGAGCTTTGGCACACACAGCAATTTGATTAGTGCCAATCTGTGGAGACAGGTGGAAAACAACATGCAGCCTTAGTGACAGCGTAACATGATACTGCCCAGTTTCCAACAATAGATAGGTATTTGCTGGATATCATCCAAATAGAAAAGATTTTTCAGAAAGCCTTGAGTTCTTCAAAGAAGCCAAACTTTAAAAGTCTAGAGTTTACAGAATGATGTCATAAACTCACTACCTCTTACCTTGTTAATAATGCCTCCGCTTTCAACTACACCTTCAGCACCAACTAACACCAGGTCCACTTTCTCCATAATGTAGCTGTTCAAAGCAGGAAAAAAATCCAATTCTTATTGGGTAATATAGCAAATGACACTTGATGAACAGAAATTAGAAATTCAAACAGTCATTCACTTTTCTGAACTACTTTCATCTACCTAGGTAAGGCCATGTGCTGTTACATATCCTTGGAGTGAGCTTTCATCTGCTTCCCTGGCAGGAATATTAAGTAATCATATCTTCTTCAGCCAGAGCTGGCCTTGGCAATTGTGTAAACGCTGGAAGAAGTTGAAATCTGACCACGAATGATGTTCAGTGATGGGATGTGGGGGCCTGTGGTAAGATACTAACTACACAGCTGAAATGTAACTACACCGTAATAACCTTGGCCAAATCACAGTTGAAGTGTAACTACACCGTAATAACCTTGGCCAAATACAGAGGATGCTTCTCATCCCCAAGTTCTATATTTAGGTCTGACTCCATGTTTCATTCTAACGTGCAAACATCAAATAATTGTTTGGTAGCAGCTGTATTCTCCTAATTGTGCACCTAAAGGTGTAACTTGTTTAGCTTGTTTGACGACTATGACAAACTAAGTAACAACCTCTGTAGTTTGAACAAGCTTCTGGAAAAGTTACATGTAACATTATCAAAATAAAACTGTGATGAACAGTGTTAAGATTTAAGGATCAGACTTACCCAACTGCAGCATCCAGAATCACAGTCACCGGAATGTTCAGTTTCCTCAAGGCTTTTGCCATTTTTTGCCTATTAAAAAAAAAAAAAGTTTGAAACTTAGAGAAGACATTGCTAGAAAAATATTGTCTGAAAGACTCAGTGTTAAGATTTAAGGATCAGACTTACCCAACTGCAGCATCCAGAATCACAGTCACCGGAATGTTCAGTTTCCTCAAGGCTTTTGCCATTTTTTGCCTATTAAAAAAAAAAAAAGTTTGAAACTTAGAGAAGACATTGCTAGAAAAATATTGTCTGAAAGACTGAAACCCATGACTGCCCATGCTCCCTTGCCTGTAGTGTCAGTTTATCATGTTCTCTCCAATAGAAAATAGGTTATTTGTAGAAATGGAAACAGATTACAACAAACCCCAAAAAAGTAACATCAGTTTGGTTTAGTGGTCAGGAATTACATCTACAGAAAGATGAGTCCATGAACTGTTATTAAGATGACAGATTATCTAAACTGTCTCAGCTTTGCCATCAAGAGAGTATAAGAAACAAGAAATAAAGCATGGGGTGTGTTGCTAGAAGTTATTTCAGTGAAGCTGGAAAATCCTCTGTGCTTCTCCTGGCTGAACATCCTCGATTCTAGTGAGAGACGGGTTAGATGGTTGTGTTATCCAGCGTGCAGGATTTACTGCTTCACTTACACAATGGTGTATGCTCTGAGAAGGGAAAGTTTGCTCTTTTGCTGTCAGTAATATACTTTATTTGGCATCTTCAAACAATGTTGTTAGCTGAATAGTGGGTTGGGTTTTTTTGTTATGCTTAAGATAATACTAATTATTTTAGTCTGCTTTTGAAGCAGACTACTAGAAATCAGTTGTCTCCCATTTCCCAAGGGAAATGTAGGCTTCCTGGCACTGATTCAAAGTTTGTAAACCTTTCAGGAAAACACAGGTAACACTCTTACTGGAATATTTAGTATTGGAAACTACTTGCCAATATTGTTGCGGTTTTTTTTACTTGCCCAGAATAATGTGATGATATTAGTAAGAACTACCAAGCTTAGCTGCTTTTCTTAAGGTATGACAGATTTGATGCTAGCTGGAACTTACCCTGTTAACCAAGACAAAACACAAATTAACGAGTACTCGCCCTGCTTGATCTGGCTGTGATTCAGTAACATAAACACTGAATCGCTTCTTTGCCTCAACAGCTGCTTCCAGCACCCTGAGGACCACTCTCGAGTAGGCGTGTGTCAATATTCGCTGTCAAAAAAAGATAATCAGGCATTACTTCTTGCTGAGCTTTGGGAAACTTTACTTTTGTTAATGGTGTCATGACTTTTTATGTCACAAAACTGTCCATCAACGTTAAATAATAATGTATGTCACTTGTATCCTACAAATCATAGGACAGCAAACCACTCTGCAAGCAGGGCTTTATGCGGGGAAGGGGTGATGGTTTAGTGCTTTAAATGGAAAGTTGAAGCTGCGGCTCCTCAGCACCTCTCAGAAGCAGTAAAGCATGAGTTACAGTTGGATTGTGTGGAAACTGAAGTAGGGGGAGGAGATGAGTCTGAACAAAATAAAGCAAAGTGTGATGTGCCTTCCAATATCTGCAGGGAACCTACAGGAGAAGTTGGATTGTGTGAAAACCGAAGTAGGGAGAGGAGATGAGTCTTAACAAAATAAAGCGAAGGGTGATGTGCCTTCCAATATCTGCAGGGAGCCTACAGGAGAGCTGGAGAGGGACTCTTTGTCAGGAAGTGTAGTGACAGCACAAGGGGTAATGGTTTTAAATCGGAAGAGGGGAGACTTAAATTAGATACCAGAAAGAAATTCTTCACAGTGAGGGTGGTGAGAGCCTGGCCCAGGTTGCCCAGAGAAGCTGTGGCTGCCCCATCCCTGGAGGGGTTCAAGGCCAGGCTGGATGGGGCTTTGAGCAACCTGGTCTGGTGGGAGGTGTCCCTGCCCAGGGCAGGGGAGTTGGAACTCAATGATCTTTAAGGTCCCTTCCAACTCTAACCATTCCATGATTCTATGTTACAGCCATGTACTTGCAGAAATTGCCATCGGACAACGCTGGCATGAATGTTAGTAAACTTCACCCCCTCCCCTTCTGCTTCTCCATACTACAAGCAGCAGAGCAGTGAAATGAGGGTGACCCTGCCTCAGCCTACTTACGGCACCGTCTCTGATGAAGGGGTGACACAGCTTGGCGATTTTGTTCCTCGAGAGAGAGACTTTCCTGAGGAAGATCTCCCCGCGCTCAATCATGATTTCTTTGCACTTGGAGTAGTCCTGGAAAACAGAGCCAACGTGAGGCGGGAGGGTCCCTCATGGCGGGCAGCACGGCCGGGGGTGGCCGCCCTTACCGAGTACTCCAGGGAGGTGAGGCTGATGAAGCGCAGGAAGAGCTCCCCGCCGGAGGACACGGCCACCGAGGAGTCCACCCGAGACAGGGTGTCGATGGCGTCCAGCAGGCTGCTCCTCAGGCCCTGGATGGTCTCACCTGCGGGGAGGCAGAGGCGTATGGCCGGGACCGAGCCGGTACGGCCCTCCCCATGGGGCGACCCAAGGCAGAGAGGCATCCCCGTCCCGCCCGGGGCTGAGGGGGGACCCGGACCCACCTCGGTCCTGCTTGAGGAAGCCCAGCAGCGCGCGGATGGCAGCCACGGCCGAGGCGACATCGGGGTCGTCCCTCAGCTGCGCCCGGAAGGTCTCGATCAGGTCTGCAAAGCAACGGGGAGCGTCGGCCCGGCCCGGCCCGCCTCCCCCCGCCGCCCAGCTCCCCTCACCGTCCGCCCCCCGCTCCCCTCACCGTCCGTGCTCATGGCCGCGTCGCTCCGCTCGCCGCCCGGCCACTGCCACCGCACCCCCCGCCTCGCCTGGGCGTGGCGCCGCCTGAGTGACGCGTTTCGATGACGTAGAGCCTCGCCTTGGCGTCATTTCCAGGCGCCGGGAACGACCGGCACCTCTAGCCGGTGCAATGAGCGCGGGTGAGGCGGCGGGGGAGGGAGAGACGCCGGTGTCTGGCGGGCTTCGGCCCTCGGCCGGGCTGGGCCGAGCCGAACCGGGCTGGGTCGGGCCGGGCCGGGCCGCTGTGGTGGTCGGTTCCCCGTGTCCCCGCCGCGGGCTGGGCTCTGCCGAGCTGCCAGCGCTCCCGGGTGACCCCCTCTGCTCGGGGACCTTCCGCCGGTGCCGCTCGGCCCTTGCAGGGGGCCTGGGGTGACCCTGGCGTCTTGTGGCTTTTTCAGAGGACGAGCTGAACCTGCTGGTCATCGTCATCGACACCAACCCGATCTGGTGGGGGAAGAGGGCGCAAGGGGAAGCTGAGGTACGGCCTCTGGGCCTCGGTACTTCTGAGGGAGGTTTCTGAAGGAAATCATTTAGTTTGTTTAAATCTTTAGGCAACAGGTGGGATGAGCTTTTGATCTCAGAGCTATGCTAAAATTGTCTGTGAAAGCGGTTATAACAGATTTTAGAACACTCTTTTTAAAATAGCAACTCAGCATTGTGTATTTTTCAAAATTTTTTTCCTAAATGCTCCCCATTAAGAAAGGAAGTTCTTTTGGCATCTTAAAACTCAAGTTCTTTAACTGCAGTTACTTGAGGGATTTCTTCTGAATTACTTGACCATAAAAGTTATGGTGCTATATTGACTTTATTCTTTTTTCCTAGCAGTTCACCCTATCAAAATGCATGGATGCAGTGATGGTACTGGGAAATTCACACTTATTTATGAATCGTACCAACAAGCTCGCTGTAATAGCAAGTCACACACAAGAAAGGTATAGTTGTTTCTAAATTGTGTAAAGTGCACTTTCCTGTATCTATCTCCCAATTTGTTGGACTGAAGTATATAACTGAAGCCAGGTTTACAATGTATAACATAGTGTCGTCTTAAGAAGAGAAATTAACTAAAACTGTGTAGGAGAGAAATGATCTGACTTAGTGTATGACACAAAACAACAAAAAGGCTTGTAAGACAGAAGGAAGATTCAAATAGACTTTAACTTACAAATATGTGGGGAGAGGGGATGGTAGAGACACAGCAAGCAGGATAGTGCAAGTGGCAGAAGTTTCCTGTTCAGTGGATAGTTTTCCGCAGACACTTGTGAGTCTCAGGATCTACCCCGAAGCACATGTGTGGTGTCTGTTGGCCAGTTCTCTTAAAATGTGTTTTGAAAGAGGGGAGGAGAATGTGGGTTTTGCTCCATTTTGGATTTGAAGATTTCCTGACTTATATAGTCTCTTTAATTTCTAAAGGATTAAAGTTATTTGAAATTCTACTTCAGAGTATTACTGTCTACAGCTGATTAGTGTATGGCATTTTTTTTCTTACAGTGTTAAAGGCAAAATATGAATCCTTTGTCTTTCCTGTTTCAGCCGTTTCTTGTACCCTGGGAAGTGTTGGGCTGTTGCAGATCTCTTTGGAGATGGCAGTAGCTCCGTGGAAGCCAATTGCTCTGGCAGCAAGGATGGAAAATACGAATTGTTAACAGCAATAAATGATGCAATTGCAGAAGAGATTAAAGACCTCATGACAAAAAGTAAGGAAAAGAAAATTCTAGGCTTAATATACAGAATTGCAAAACACTTGAACTTTCAAGGCATTGTAGGAATTTCCTTTATTTTGATAATGTGAATTTTAATATGTTTAAAGTAGATCAGTTTATTGTGCTTGACACTTCAGGCCTCTGCATTAATACTATTTACAAAGATAAAACTTGTAGTGTTTGTTATAGTCAGGCTCAGCTTTTATATATAAAAGTAACTTTTGCAACTTTTCTTGTATTGCAGCTGACATGAAGGGCCAGCAAACAGAAACTCTGTTAGCAGGATCACTTGCTAAGGCACTTTGTTGTATCCTTTTGATCACAGAATCTTCAAAGCCTTTATGTATTTTGAATACTGTTTCTTATAGTATTAATCATGCTCAAAATAGGTTTTACTATTACTGTTCTGTCATAATTCTCAAAACTGAAATGTTTGCCTAATAACTGTCGTGGTGTATTAAGATGTGTGTTGGGTGAGGTGGTGAATGCGTGGTACGGATACGAGCAGAATGTAGATTCCTTAATGTCAGCCAATGTAGATATCAACAAGATGAGCAAAGAGGTAAAAGGTAATGCCCGCTCTGTTCTGAGTACCTACGTAAATGTTTGAATCAGAATAACAGATGTAAATGCATATGTACATGGCCATTTCCAAAACTGGCAATAATAGGTACAGGTTTATCCCAATCATTTGAAGTTGCTCAGTTTAAACTAGGTCTTGGTGATGATTAGAAGTAAAGGACTTGATCATTAGTCTACATTCTTATTCTGATTTTCTCTTGCATGTAAGTGAAAAGAGGAAAACTGAAAGTGGAATCTCTTTAGAGTAACTGGAGGTTGAGAGGAACTTTTTCAAAGTCACAAAATGCACAGATCCTCCTCCAAAGGGACCACCTGCAGAGCTGTGCTGATAGTTGAATTTCTTACTCAGTTTTGGTCTTCCTCTTATGACTACTATAATTGGAAAAAGTGCTATTTGTGCAAATAGTTTGCAAGGAGCAGATTGGACTAGAATCAACTATATATTTCAGATCACTTTAATAAATGAGAAATACCATATAACTTGAGATGCGTGTTTCAAGCAGTGAGCTGGTAATTAACAATGTTGAACGTTTCTTTCCTGATTAACATCTAACTGCTTTTGGACAATAAATTAAATGGGTCTATTTTCACAAGTCTGAATTAGTCTACAGATACTTGCCAAATATTCCTGCTGCTCTCTGTGCCACTGGGACACAGCTCATATACGTATTTTAACTGAGATGTGAGATATCTAACATCTGTGATACTAGATACTAGACTACAGAATTACAAGGGCAAAACTACAGGTGATTGATAGAAGCAATGTACTCATATATTTCTTTTTCTTTTCAATACGTAGCCAATCAAGAAATGAAATCAAGGATTTTGGTGAGAACTTTTGCTGTCACTTTTCTTTTAGTTTTGAAGTCTGGTGATACTATGTAAACTAACAAGTCTGAATTGCTTTATTTAGGTCATAAAAGCTGCAGAAGACAGTGCATTGCAATATATGAATTTCATGAATGTGATCTTTGCAGCACAGAAACAGGTGAAGCTGGCATTTCGTTTTTATAGATATTACCTTTTATTAATGTGCAAAGATGACGAGTTTGTTCATTTCTCTCATGATCTAGTTAAAGACTCCTTGAAGTGAAGTCTATGATGGCCAGAGTGAAAGGTGGTAACCAAGGTTTTTTTTTAAAAAAAAAAACCAAAAACCAAAACCCCAACTCGGATCCATATCACTAAATCTTAACATAAATGGTTTGCTAGATTAATTAAAGATTAGTGTAGTAGTACAGATAGTAGCCTTTTGTCCCTCCTTGTGGGTAACGTGTACAAGGTAGCTTTGATGATAGTTCTTCTATTACCATGTGTTAGAAGGGAGGTGCTGGAAATTTGGTTTTGTGTTCTGATCAAGTGAAAGAGCTTCCCTATGGCTGTGGTGCTCCTGCAGCTGCACATGCATTTATATATGGAGTGTATTTATAGCAGAAACAGATAATGATAATAACACTGATGAAGCTGCATTGGTTGTAGCTGAATTTGGTTTTCATGTGTTTCATCTCTTGCAGAGTATTTTGATTGATGCCTGTGTCTTGGACTCTGATTCAGGTCTTCTGCAACAGGTACAGACTCCTTGTTCTTATTTGCTGTTTACATTTATTTGTAGATACTTCATGCTATATGGTTTGCCATGTTCTTAAGCTGTTCTTGCCTTTATTTCAAGAGTGGTTTCCAACACTGACAGTTCCACCATGCAGGCCTTGAGCAGTATGTGGATATTTTAAACATCCCGTTAGTTTCATAAACCATGACAATCTGATCATGCTTTCTGCTTTCCAGGCTTGTGACATTACGGGCGGCATATATTTGAAAGTGCCCCACATGCCATCCCTTCTGCAGTATTTGTTGGTAAGTCATTAGGAAAACCACGTCAGTGTTTTTTCTCTGTCAGACGTGAATTCTTACTGGCTTCATTGACAAGGTGACACAGCAGCACCATTCTAATTTGCAAAGTATTTTTCTTTATTCATGCAGTGGGTATTTCTCCCCGATCAAGAGCAGAGATCACAGCTTGTCCTTCCGCCTCCTATTCACGTTGACTACAGAGCTGCATGTTTCTGCCACCGAAATCTCATTGAAATTGGTTATGTGTGCTCTGTGTGCTTGTCAAGTAAGTGTATAAATATTTATGGAGTCTCTTATGTTCATTTCTTATGTTCAAATGAACGATTTTAGTGAAAGCAAATTATTTTATTTTCCAGTATTCTGCAACTTCAGTCCAATTTGTAGCACATGCGAGTAAGTGTTTCTTCTTGTTTCTTCTTGTGGGTGTGTGGGGTATGTTGAGTGTATCTGACAGTTCCTTTTTAATGTTGTTTCAGGACTGCTTTCAAAATATCGTTGCCACCTGTCATGAAAGCTAAGAAGAAGAAATTAAAGTTAGCTGTGTAACTTTATGTCACTACATCATACCTCCTCCAGTAATTCCATGAAATGGGATATATTTGAGAAACTGATGGCCCTTTTTATTGGCTATGAAAGAGAACTGTAACAGTGTTACTACTTGTTTCTTAAGGGATAAATATTTAAATCCTATGTTTTCTACACAGCCCTTTAAGTAACAATCACTGTATTACCCTGTGGCCTGTGCTGTTCCAGAATTTACAGCCTGTTAAGAGACAGATGCTGTGAAGCAGATGTTTGGGCACTGCAACGTCTCACACTTCCAAGTTATTTTCAAAGATGAGAAAGCTCTGATTCTTTTTATAATGCTGGTGTAAAGGTAAGAATGACTGTTTCTGGTGTGGAGGATCAGAACCACAGCACTATGTTATTCAGGGACTTCAACTTCTTGCTAGGTTTTGCTAGCAATTTTTGGATTGGACTGAAAGAGCATCAGTTTGAAAAATAAAACACCAATATTTTCAAGATGGCTTAGAAACCACTTTTTTATTTTTTAAAAAGTGCTAATTCCCTAGAATGTGCACTTACCTGTGTTCATATTCCTTTGAGTGTACTGTCTGTATGGTATTTCTATCTCAATTGGGTATCTCTTAATTCATGAATAAAAAGGTCTGCCTTTGTTTAAAATAAGTTCAATAAATGTGAACTAGCTGGTTAGTCCTTAAGGTTGTATTTTGAAATGAAAAAAATAATTCTATGTTATATGACGGCAGGCACACATGCTTTTGGATCGGTGTTTTTTATGTCAGGTTATGTCAGGATACGCTGTGGACTTCTGAACATAGCTTTGGTTCAAACAAACAAAAAAATAATCTCTCCCTTTTAAAAGGTTACTGTATAATTTGGTGTTTTTACTAGTGACTGGTGTTACTGATGTGTGAATACAGAGAGTAATTGTTTCCCACATAAAAAAAGACAATTTTTTTTTTTTATCCCAAGGCATATACAGGAATTTATGCTGTGTCTTGATAATTGCATCGGGTTTTTGTCCGTGTAACAGTTGTAGTAAGTGCCAGTCTTTTACTGGCTTGGTTGCCAAAAGCCATTTTGTTTGAAGGCTGTATTTATAATTTACTTTGTATACAACGTTTGTAATAAAAGCTTTTTCGAATGTGGTTAGGTATTGCTGTAATAAGAGATGTTTTTAGGGGTGAGCTACACGGCTTTGTTGCGATTTTTATTGCGTGAAAGTGTAACGGCGCTACCCGCCCGAGGATGCGGTGCCTGAGGGAGGAGGCGGCCTGTGTGGAGTGAGGGGGGGAGATGAGGGTCGGACTTGGTCGGGGCTGCTTTGGTTGATGCCGCTTTCGGCTGTGCGGTCGCTCCCGGGCGAAGGGGGACGTGAGGCGGCCCCGCCGGGCTCTGTGACCGCCCGCCGGTGGCCCTCTGCGGTCCCCGGTCCCCTTCCCCCGTCAGGAAGCCGCGCCGCCGCCGGCGCTTCCCGCCCCTTCCCGTTGCCATGGCGCCGCGCTGGCGCCCAAGATGGCGGCCGGGCGGCAGCCGGCTCCGCGGCGCGGCACTCCGTAAAGGCAATGGCGGCTGCTTTCCTCGGGACGCTGCTGCTGCTGCTGCTGCTGGCGGCACCTTGCCCCGGGCAGCGGGCTTGGCACCCCGGTGGGTGGAGAGCTTCAGGGGCCGCCATAGAAGGCGGCCTCCGAGGGGCGAGGCGGCTGAGGGAAGGGGGCTAAAAGGGCGGCCGGGGGTGAGGGGAAGGAGGGGGTCGGCCTGTGGCGGGACCTTCCCTGACGGGACAACGGTGGGGCTGCCCGGGTCGGCGTGAGGGGAGGCCCGAGGGATGGTGTGGGTGTCCCCGGGACAAGGAGGTCGTGGGGCTTTAGTAGCCCAAGCCGAAGGTGCTGGAGGAGATTCGGAGGAGGGAAGGTGGAGCTGCTGCTGTTGGATCTTTCAACATTGGTAAAGTCTGTAAAGAAAATTCTAGTGAAACTCCTGACTTGGAGCCCTAAACTTGAAACTACACCCGTGTGCTGAAGGCAGTCTGCAATTACTGGATCACAGGTAGTGCTACACCCCCGATACTACAAAAAAGCGTGACCTGAAGTCAGCGAGAAATGCTAAATATGTTGTTGCCGGACTTGAGTAGTATCTGCATGGGCCAGTAAGTGCTGCATTCTTCTGCCTTAATGTTGTTGTACTGCTGGGTGTTCACTACACATCTTGACAAATGAAAACTTGAAGTATAGAAAACTACGGTGAACCCACTGCTCTAGCACTTTGTGAGAATATAAATACAATCCTAGGCATCAGGAGACTTTTTTTGTTCTATTTGTGCCAACTTAAAGTATAGGAATCTAGCCCAAGTGCAATTCCTAAATATTGTCTTACAGATGTTAACTTCTTCCATGTGTTAAGACTTGTTTTTTCTTTTTTTTTCAGTCTTTCAGCCTTCATTTATCCATATGTCAGGGCCCAGAGTAAATTCGTTTTTTCTGGGAAATTCTTCTGGAGTTAATTTTTCTATAGTCTTAAGTTCTGTAGATGAAGAGACAGGTAAGAACACTTCAATTTTTCTTTTCCAAATAGCATGTAAATAAATATGTTTGAATTCTGAATATTTTTTCTGCCACTAAAATTACTGGAGAAACAGTAATGTGCTTCATGTTACTGAAATAGGATCTCCAAAAGGTTTCTGCTGATTAAGCCTCCTTGTCAGCTGGGCCTGAGGGTATGCCTACTTGAAGGTACAAAAGGAGTTTAAATGTATTTCTAATTTTCTAGTCTTTTCTCAATGACAGCAGAATACTTTTTAAATTTTCATTTTGATACAGGAAAATTGCAATTTACAAATTGCAGTGGAAGTAAAAGAGCTGGTGATTGGAATTTGACTGTAACACCTGGTACGGTATGTAAAATACTGATTCTTCAAAATGGGAAGGATCGAACTGTCATATATTAAGGGCTAATGAAATACTAGCAAAATGTTTATGTATTAACAGCCTAGTTTTAATGTCTTGCCCTTGCCTTTTTTCCTTGACATATCCCTTTGTGTGGATGCCTTTGCTGGGGTTTGCTGAGGTGCAGCTTTGACACTGGTTCTGTCTTCTGCTCCGGCTCTCCAGAACTGCCTGTACTTCCTGGCTGGCTGTAGCATTTGAGAGTGTTTCAGATTTGCTGGAAGGAGCTAAATGAAACAAAAGGGGTGCTTTTATAGGGCATGAGCTCTAAAACATCTGTATTTATTAGCTTTGCCTTCAGTGTTATGTTTATGTTTTACAGAATTCCTTAGGGGGTTTATCAACTCTGCAGTCATTCTGCTGAAGTTAGCTGTAAAAACTGAAATTCACTTTTGGTAGTTGTTCTTTTCTTTAGAAATGTGCATGGCATTTCTGAGGTAACTTAATCTGTGTGCGTACCTTAAAATGTCCTGTGCACAGTTCATATCCTCCTTGTATTTGCATATTTTGGTAGCAGACCCTTTGTCATTCCACTCTCGACAAATGCCTGATTTCATATATGAATATCATTGTATTGTACAGTGGATGGTACTGAAACTTCTCTTTCAGAAGCTGATGAATGGTATAAATAAGAGTAAGTTAATACAGCTGTCAAAACTATCAGACTTTATTTTGCATTTTTTCAGAATGCTTCCAGAGTGACAGTAAGCCTGACTAGAAATCTGGAGTTGTGTTTGCCCAATGCCACTGACTGCTGCACAACACCTCTCTGCGTGGTTGAAACACTTCAGGTTTCAGCTTGCCATGATTCAGTGATGTTGGCCCATCTCCTGATTCAAGCTGAAATATATGCCAACTCCTCTTTTACAGGAAATGTGTCAGGTAAGTGTTTAGTTATGCTAAAGAAGAAAAGGCATGTGGGCTGGTCTTTTCCTCTTATATATGAAAAAATAAAAATTGGGATTTGGGCAGCAATAAGAGATACTGAATAATCATTAATGAAATTTTAAAAAAGAATAAAATGCAATGTGCATGGATTCCAGTCCATTTAATCTGATTTTTTTGTTTGTTTGTTTTAAATTCTTTTACAGAAAATGCAACTATCATCCCAAACCAGGCGTTTCAGCCATTGGGCTCTTGTCCTTGTGATTTGACAGCTGAGGCTTGTGATGTTCGCTGTTGCTGTGATTCGGTACTTATTTCATATTAAACTTTGATTAAGTGTTATCAAAATTTCTAGGCTTGTTCTATTGTCTGGGACATGAGAGAGGTACCAATTGCTTTAGACTAGATGGGGCTAGAGGGCTTATTTGGATTTTTCAGTATTTCCAGTAGTAAATATGACCTCTCTAAAAAATTGGTTTCATATAGTTATAGTGCCTATGGTAATGCATTTACTGTGCTAAAAAGTGAGCATTCTTTTCCCTTCCAGGAATGTACCCCAGACTTGAAGCAGTTATTCAATGAATCATGTTTCACTGGAGTGTTTGGTGGGGATGTAAACCCACCTTTTGATCAGCTGTGCTCTTCTCAGTCAATGGAATATATCCCGGATTGGTTTCCCTTCCTCTGTGTACAGTCCTCTCTTAACAATACACCATTTCTTGGCTACTTTTATCATGGCTCTACGTAAGTCTTAAGAAAGTTTATTTTACCAACACACGCATTAGGCATGCTACCAAAAATGTAACCTGTTTTTATAATGAAAGTTATTTTGAAATCGGAGTTTTAGGATGTGAACTTCAAGTGCAAATGGAGAAATGTCATTGGTACTATATGAGAACATGGGACACAAAAGCAAATGTATAATTATTTGTGTGAGGTACAGAGCAAAGAATTGTTTAATTTTTAAACTTGTTTGCAGTTCTACACCCAGAGTTCCTTCATTTAAGATCCCTTTACAAACTTCTCCTGGGAGACTTTTCACCGGTTATGGAGAAGGAGATCCAATTATGACAGAAGAAAATGAGTATTTTACCATTCCCCAGGTAATCGCTTCATGTTTAGGAGCTTTTGGTTCCTCTGGGTTTGTTTGATGTTCTCCCTACATCACACTCCTTGTGGCATTGTAACCAGATTCTGTGACTTGCTGTTGTGAAGTGGTGGAATATATTTTTCACAAAAAACCCCCAAACCCACCACAAAACTATCATTAAAAGTAAATATTATCCTTCCTGATCCGCCTGCCCATCCCCCCAAATGGTAATGGTTTAATTATTTTAAGAAGTGAAATCAAGTTTGGCATCCCAATTGATAGTTTATGGCTTATCGTATTTCTGTATTTTTTGGTTTTCCTGCTGCATTACTGAGCACTATTGTTGTTTTTCCTTTTGAATATTAGTTGTCTGGTTGTACTTTTATTCTAATTCCTTTTGCATTTTAGAGAGATTTGTTGGTTATAATTATTTTGACAAATTAGGATGAAGCCATCCTGTACATTGAAACTGTTTTGAAAGCTGTGCTTTTTAAACTTTAACCTCTCTTTTGCTACAGATTGAGGTATTTTGATAGCATCAGGTTATTTGTTTGTCAAAGTGTCAAATGGCTGTAGTACATACTTGGAGCATTTCACTAACAAATAGTCTTAAAATTAAAAGCAAGAGGCTAGAAAAGGGTCCAACATAGTTATTTCTGTTGAACTACCTGCAGCGATCCATGGCTGGACAGTGTGTTGGAAATGCCCCTGTAGCTTATCTTCAGGACTTTGATGTCAAATGCCTCACCAATCTAGCATCTTACAAGGAAGGACTGCCCCACGACATGAAGATAAACACTGGTGCTGGAGGTACGCTGCATAAACCCTAACAGAAATGTGGATTAGGTTTCTTAGAGTTGCTAGAACAGAACATACCAGAGCGCTGTTGACATAGTAACTACATGTGATGTCTTCATTATCTGGTAGCTCTATTGCAGCATTTGGGAATGTTCTATTTCTGTTTCTAATGACCTTCCAGCTATTTCCCAAGATTTAGGATGTGAAAAATAGTGGAATTGGCCTTTATTTCACATTCACCTGTTCCTAGTGACTTGTACTGGTTATGACTATGCATGACAGAGCAGCATCTCTCCCACTTTCTATTCTCAGACTGTTGCAGCGCCCTTTTTCTGTCAAGGGAGTGCAGTATCATCATTTTAGAATTAGTGAGAAGTAGCTACTTTCTGCATTACAAAAGCATATACTTATGAAGTGTCCTTCTGGAGTT